CGGTTTGACTGTAACCAACGTATGTGTTCTCCTATTGGTAGATATTTAGGTTGCTTCCAAATTTCCTTAATATTATAAACTGGTGCGGTCCTCATACCTTTGTCCTTATCTTCTTCACTGTGTCAGAAAACAGAGAAAGCATCTGTCTGTAAGCTGTGATGAAGTCCCAACCTATAATCTTCAAAATCTGGCTCTGACTTTCTGTTCTAGCCTCATTTCGCCCTCAGCCAAACTTTCAAGTTCACTGCTGACTTCGCCAGCTCTCTCTTGTTTTCTAATTCTGCCCAGGGCTTTCCTGTTTCCCAGACCTGCTTTTTCTGTTATCAGTGAGGCCATCTTCCTCGCCTCACCATCAGCCCCAACAGTATCTGTTGGAATGCTGTGTGGATTAAAAGCAGAATGGGGTTAGTGAGTATGCTGTAAGAAATAATTGTTATTTAAACTGCTATTTCTTTTTTTAATGATCAGCGTGGATACGGAATAACACCACATAGGGATGTATGAAAGTAAAAGAGATGTATCATGCTCACAGGTTGTAGCAGAGGGAGGGAGGCAGGCACGTTACCCAGGGGGCTCCATGGAAGGCTTGCTAAGGGAGTTGGGCCAACCAAGCAGGTGGGGAGCAAAGGGAGGGTGAAGACGGTGGGCAAGTGCCTTTATGAGGGTCAGGGTGAAGTACACAGCTAAAGGCATGAGGGAATTTCACTGGTGTGTTTGAATGTCACTGGGTCACAATCAGGGAAGGACAAGAAGGCGAACTTGCAGCAAGGACAGTCTTCTCATACTGGTGCACCTGACCTCCTGGGCAGAGGGCTCACAGACTGTGGGGGCAATTGAGGCAGCAGGAAGAAACATGACGTCCAGTCTATGCCGGGTGATCTCATACATCCTAATGGCTTCAACTCTGAAATCTACACCTCCAGCCTAGACTTTGCTTCCAAGCTTCTAACGCATATATCTAACTGCTTCCTGAACATCCCCATTTGGCTATGTCATAGGTAACCTCAAAGTCAACCTGTTCAAAAATTAATTCATCATCTGTAAACATGCCCTGAATCTGCTCCTCTTCTGGTGTTCCCTATATCTTAGGGAATGGCATCAGCAACCTCTCAGAACTCCTGGTCAAGACCTAGGAGTTTCCTTTGACCCTCTTCTCTTCCACAGCATCAATCCAATGCAACACCAAGTTTTGTCTATTCTGTTACCTTAGCGTGGACACATTGGTCAGCTGCATTCACGTGTTACTCATTTTTGCATCTATCCAATGTCTTTTTATGCCAGGACCTGTCCTGGGTTCTGGGAAACAAAAATAAACCAGTGCTTCTCAAACTGTCTTGGTGAAAGACCATTTCTTTTCTTTTTTCTTTTTCCAATCAGTCAAGGACGGATTCTTTTGTAAAACATAATGAAAATCAATTACTAGGAAAAAAAAAGGAAAAAAAGGACATAAAAAATACAAGCCCCAGTTTTTCATTATTAGATTCAATAAACAAAAATTACTTGCCAAATTGCTATAAAAGGTTCTAAATGTTTCTCTCGATTTCTATACCGTTCTCTCCACAGGCTGGTTAAGTCTGCAAACTGGTGTCATCCATGGAGCACTCGCTGAGTAGCACAGAGGAGAGAGAGGCAAACACAGAATGGGAAGTGTAAATGTGGGCCTCAGAGTGGGAGGGGGGAAGGCAGAAAAGAAGAATCTTAAGCAAATAAACAATAACCACATCATCAAAAACAAAAGCAATTAGTTATTGGTGCCAAGATGTGGGTAACCTAAGGCAACGGGAGCACAGAGGAGGCACCTAACCCAGCCTGAGTATCAGGAAAGTCTACCTTATAGGATGTGCAAGGCAGGTAGGAGTTAGTCAGGTTGGGGATGCTCTAATGAGGAACAGGAAGGATACTCGTAGTAGAGAAACAAGTTCCAGAGGCATTAGGCAGCATATGGCTTGGGGAATTACCTTTCCTGTGATTTGGACTGGTTGTTTTCCTCTGAGCCTCAGCATCAGTTTCCACATGTATAAATGGATGTGATAATCCTCTTTGAATGATGAAAGAAGAGAAGCATGAAATGTGCCTGCAATGGTGCCTGGTGCTTGATACCATTGCTTTCTTGTGTATAAGGAATTCTCACAGAAATCAGAGCTTCCTCGGATGGTGGGGTGGAGTGGGTGGAGGGGCAGCTCATTGACCCAGGACTGGAGTCCAGAATGACCCAGGCTCTGGGGGTGACAGGGAAAACAGGAGGCTATGCCTGCCTCTGAGTCATTCCCAGGCCTGAGGCATGTTTCTCTAAGACAGTCAGCAGACTATGGGGTGTAGTTGTAGTTTGGGGAAGGAAGAAGCAACCCAGAATAAGCTCCTCTTCCTCACAAGTCTCTGTTGTTCCAGATGTCCATGACAAAAATAAACTCTTAATTAAAAGGCTGAAGGGTGGAGCTGGCTCTGTCCTGTTGTGCATGGCCCTGGGGGGTTTGATGAAATAAAGGTATTAAAGGATCATTCATAAATCACAGAGCTAATCCTCTCAGCTGCTGGTTGCTAATAAAGAACGTAAAAATCAGGAAGATTAAATTACAGATTCCAAAATCTCAAAACCAGAGCGATGCAAAATTAACATGAAATTAATTAATACAAAATTTGATCAATGAAAATAATTTTATCTGATAGAGGAACGAGGTGTTACAAATTAATCTACTCTGTCAAATATGATTCATTCCACAAATATTTTCTAAGTGCCATGTTGGAAGAAACACTAGGTGTATGTATGGTAAGAGATAACAAATGGGAGTCAGAGATGGCCCAGGAGGAGTTGATACCTGAGCAGGTGTTATTCATGGAAGCATTGCCACTATTTCTCAAGGCCTGCTCTCAGGCCCACCCCATGCTAGTGGCTGGAAACACTAAGATATGTAGGACTCCAGTTACCCTATCTGTTATTAGAGAAAAGTCCCTGCTCTCACCAAAGGCCCTCTTGCCTATTTGTACCCTGGGTCCTGTCTTTTCTCCACTTATCATCGGCACTCCTGTAATTCAGCCTCTCTCTGCTCCAATAGCAGTTTCTCTTTGTTGGTGGATCCCCGTCAGCCTTTCTTAATCCTCCTTCCAACGACCACCTCATTTCTCTGCCCCCTTTCATAGCAAAACTTTGAAAGAGTTGTTGATGAGACAGGGTCTCAGTGTCTTCACCTCACCAGCACCTGTTGCCTTCTCACCCACTCTTATCAGGCTTCTGTTTCCTCTGTAACTGCTTTTGTCAAAGTCACCAATGACCTCCATCTCGTCAAATCCAATAGGCACTTACCTGGTTCCTATCTCAGTAACTTCTGATGCCGTTGAAAATTCCCTCTTTTAAATACATGCTTGTCTCAGCTTCTCGAAATATAATTTGCTGCCTTCTCCCCTACTTCTCTGGCTGCTCCTTCTGGGTCTCTTTGGATGACCTCACTGTTCTACTGGATCTTAAATGGAGAGGGTACACGGGTTCCAACCTCAGTTTTTCTCCGTCTCCTTAGTTGATATCATCCACTCTCGCGACTTTCTATCCATCAACTCTATGTTGACAACACTTAAATTTACATTTACAGCCCTGACCTCTCCCTGAGCATATTTAATAGCCATCTCAAAATCAACATGTCTAAAATGGAATTCTTGTTTCAGCTGCTTCCAAATCTGCTCAAATTCCCATCTTTTCATATTACCAAATGGTGCAATTGCTCCCCCAATAACCTAGGGGTCATCTTTGATCCCTCTTTTCCTTTAAGCTATGTACCATTCCATTCCACTACCAAGTCAGGACCTTTTTAATTTTGAAATGTTCTCTAATCGCCATCACTCCTCCTCACCCCCCCACCAAACACTGACTTCTCTTACTTGGAAAACTCCTTTAGCTTTCTAACTGGTGTCCCTGCTTCCATTTTGTCCATAAGCTTTGAAGGAATCCAATGATTATTTTAGAAATTTAGATCATATCAATTTCCTGCTTAAAATTCTTCCCTGGCTTCCCATCACATTTAGAATAAAACCCAAACTACTTTCCAAGGTCTCTGAAACCCTGCCCATCTCTGTCCTCAGGTCATTCCACTCTCCTCCTTAACTCACATCACTGAGGTCACCTGACTGTCCTGTTTTCCCTCTCACACGCCAATCTCTTTCTTGACTCAGACCCCTCCAATCTTCCTATGGTTGATTCCTTTCAGGCACTTGGTTCTCAGCTCACATATTCCTGTTCTATTTTCTCTACAGTACTCACCACCATCTAAAATTGTATTAACTATTGACTTAATTATAGTCATTTCTTGCCTGCTCATTCAGGATGGAAATTTCTTGGGAGCAAGTACTCCGTTCTGTCTTGTTTGTCATTGTATTCCTAGTTTCAAAAAACGGTGACCAACATATAGTACCTACTCCCGAATTATCTTAGAATAAAGACTTTGTTTCCCCGAGCTCCCAGTCATCGGTGTGTGCACACAAGGGACATAGATACTTGGTCTAGAGCAGAAGAGATCCAGCTTCTGGCAAGAACCCTGGCCTGGTAGGGTGGCGATGGAGGCTAGCCTGTCTGCAGAGGTCCTACGCCCCGATGTGCTGCTCTCTCCAGCCTCTTTCCCTCATTCCTCCACTCAGAGGTCAACAAGACCGGCCGAAGCCTGCAACCTCGATGTCCTCACCCCAACTTGGGCTAAACAAAGAGGCTCAGACTGAAAGGAGGATAGGGTGGGTAAGGTGGGGAAGACGTGAGACATAATAAATGATGAAAGTATAAGGTCCTGTTAGTGACCCTGCTGCCTTTGGGCAGGATTAGCGGGTGGCTGGAGCACGCAGGGTGGGGCAGTGGCTGCTAGGTGGGTAGGTGGGTGCGGCCCTTGGCTCCGCCCCCTGCGCACTAAGAAGTAGAAGCTGAGCGCGGTGATTGTGGCGTGGTGGTTCCAGGACATCAGACCTGCAACACATGCCAGTCTCAGCTCTGCGCATGTGTGGATCTGGACCCTCACGCAGTCCCAATGTGCAACCGACCCCAGCTTGAGATGGAGCAGGGGGCTGAGGGCCTGAGCCAGTGGCACGTGGCTCCGCCCCAGTACACAGAGGTGAGTCAGGGCGTCAGCCCTGGGGCCCTGCGTGGGGGCTGGTGGAGTGGAGGCTGGGGAAGGGCGGGACGGGGTGGGGGGTAGGCAGAAATCTGGAGGGTTAGGAGTCCGAGGGACAGGTTGGGAAGGGAGGGATGGGAAATTGAGAACATAAGACCCGTGCCATTTATTCAATTAACGTTCTCCGAGCATTAGCATTAGGCGCTGAGGGCTAAAGAGGTTCCGGTAACTTCTGATAGAGACTTTTGAGTACTCCGGAAAGAAGACAAAGTTAGAAAGTCAGCGGGAAGCACACAGGGAGGGAAAAATTACAAAGTGCCGGGCCTTTGCCAGATCCTGGGAATAAGGTGGTGAGTTTACTGTAAGTTATTTTACCATTTTATTAATAAGTAGCTGAATGTTTGGAAGTGTACAAATTATTGTAAATGAGAAGTACAGGCACCACAGGAACAAATAGCAGAGGTGTTTGATCTGATTTAGGATGTGGAGAAGACAGCTGAGGTTTTGGTCTGGGACCAGAGAATTGGTTAGGTGAAGGGTTAGCAGATTCTGAGACCAGAAACAGAATGCCTCCACTGTTACGGAAATGACAGGCCAGCCAAGAAACAAGCACCACTCGGAGGGTTGGAGTACTCAGATTTATTACGCCGGCGGGCTCAGAGGGGCTTCTGCTCCGAAGCTCTGAGCCCCTCTAAGACATGCACATG